TCCTGAGTCATCCATCCTGGTTTCTTGAGAAACTTCCCGTTTTTTTCCCCTCATTGGAATTGTTTGAAATTGTGCCTTCAGTATCTCCTTTTGAGAAAATCCCATCCATCTTGAACTCCCTTCTCTTTTAGTATTCCTGACCATGGGATCACCCCCGGTATTTCTCTAAATTTACTAAAATCAGTTTTCCTAAAGTCTAGAATGTGTGTCTGACTATGCCTGGCTTCTCCTTTCCACTGTATAATAAACTCCAGGAGGACATGATCACTCCCGCCTAAGGATCCAACCACTTGCACCCCATTAACTAGGTCTTCCCTGTTGGGATCAGATCCAAAATACCTGACTCCCTTGTTGCCTCTTCCCCCTTTTGGACAATGAAACTGTCTTCAAGGCAAGTGAGGAATTTGCTAGACCTTGTGGATTTTGCAGAGTTTGAATTCCAATAAATATTAGGATAGTTGAAGTCACCCATCATTACTATACCTCTCTTTTCTGAGTGTGTGGTCATCTGTTCTAGAAAGGCATCATCCAATTCTTCTGCCTGAGTCGGGGGTCTGTAGTAGACTCCCACAATGACATCCCTGTTGCTTCCCTCCCCTTTAATTTTTATCCAGATGCTCTCCACCTGGCTTCCAGGATTGATGTCCAGGATTTCTTCACTGGTGTAAATATTTGAACAGATAGAATGCTAGGCTTTTAGACTAGATGCCTTTAAACCTAGAATAGGGATTGCATGGGCCTCTAGATGTTTTTGGACTGCATCTCCTAGTATCCCCCCCCCAACACACACACTGACTATTTTGGATGAGCTGCAGTATAAGATATGTACAGTCACATTTTCACTATTCCTGCTTTGACAACATAGCCTTGTTGGTGTGTGCCTTCAAGTCATTTCTGACCTATGGTGACTCTATGCTAAACATATCACAGGATTTTCATGGCAAGATTTGTTCCTAGGAGGTTTGCCTTTGCCTTCCTCTGAGGCTGAGAGAGGATGATTTCCCCAAGGACACCCAGTGGTTTCCATAGGCAAACAGGCGCTTGAAGCCTGGTCTCCAGAGTCATACTCAAACCACTACACCACACTGGCTCTCCAATATATCCTTCTAGCTTAATAGTGACATGCTTATAAAGCCAATTCTTTCTTGTAACTTGTTCTTCTGTTTTACATGCACTATACTTTCCAAAATGTTTTTTTTTAAATTTCATTTATTTGGCCACTTTCCTCTTTTTCATACTTCCCCCTCTTTTTCTGTCTCTCCTTTACATTTCCTTTGCATCTTAACTTTTCTTATATTTAAGCAAACTTTCCTAAGGGTCATTGATTTGAAGCAAAGCCCTTGTTAATAGAGCATTTCAAATTTAGGCATTTATTCATTCCAGCTCTAATGAAAAATCAAACCTAGCCATTTGTTGACTTCATCTGCTGGCTATGTCTTGTCATTAACCTAGTTTCCAAGCTGTTTCAGGAAGAGCCTTAAGATATTCAGTCATATAAATAATAAATTCAGGAAGGTCATAATTAATGTGGTCTAAAAAAATTCTAAGAAAAAATCAGTTTTTTTATTCTGAATCTATCATTAATTAATGTTTAAAACCAGAATAATACCTACTCTAAGCATGATTTAATAATGCTGCCTTTTGCAATGACATTTTTTCTGAGCTGCAGAATAGTTCATCATGCTGGCTGAACAAAATTTAGGGTTCTGAAAGAGTAGTTTGTTGTGCTGAATGAAATCAGAATCACAGTCACCAGCAAACATGCATAGTAGCAGAAGCTGGCAAAAATTGTCTCCTGCTGGTGCCTAAAAGGGTGCTTCTGAAGTTCAGTACTAGCTCTTAGACATGCAGGTTTCTGGATAATTCCTTCAGAAAGATTCCTAGAATCATAGAGTTGGGAGCAGCCACAAGGGTCATCCAATCCAAACCCCAGCCAGGACTCCTAGATCCTTTTCCACACATAGTCTTTTCTTTCACTTTAAAACAAAACAAAGCAAAACAAAAACCTGAGGACAGCTGGGTACAGCATAGGGGTGCCATATTCTGTTTCCTCAAATCCAGGCATTTAACCCACACTTTATGCAGATTATTCTAAAAGTACAAATTCAGCACATCGATTGTTGCATTTTTCCCCTTCCTCTACACTTTGAACATCATACTACTTCTTACAATTACAAGTGATCAAAGTGATTCAGTATAGAATAATGTTTAAAGTGTTGGACTTGGAAAAGAGAGACACAACTTCTGATCTCTCCTTGGTCTTGGATATTAACATGTGACTTTGGACCATCACTACCTATAAGCAAGTCTATAGAACAGGGTTGTTGTGGATATGTACTTTGCTAGTGCACTATAAATGAACAACAGCAATAATGTGAACATTTTGTCATGCAAAGAGACTTTACATTGCAGTTGCATCAGATCACTATTTATTGTTTTTTCATTTATTTTTACCATTTTTATTTATTTATTTATTTGCTGAAGATGAACAGTTACAGATCCATGCATATAGCACAGGAGGCCCCTGAAAGTGACTGCCATTTCATTCAGAGGATGAAATACAGAGGAAAGTAGTGACACCCAACAATAATTAAAGGAGGAGAAAGTAAGAAGGTGTGATTTCCCTCAAATATCCAGATTAAATATTTTATTATTGCTAGAAAACAGTCTAGTTTAATTTTATCTCATCTATTGTATTTTTCATCACAATGCAAATTTGGACTAGAGTGCACATAATTATTCTTGTTGCAACCAGTTAAGGTAATGATAAATACTTGCATTTATTCTGTTCCCTCTCATTTCACTAATTACATTCTTCCACGCCAACTATGTGTATAAATATCTGACAACTAAGGGGCTGAACGGACCAGCACTTTAGGCCAGCCTGGGGGCAGAGTGGGGGCATGGCAACTGCACACTGTCCACCTTGACTCTGCCCTCACACATGGTGGCATGCCCTCACATATGGTTGGAGGTGTCAGGGCACTCCCTTAGTGCAGTGTCCACACACGCTGCACCAAAGGAGCGCAGAAAAGCCACCGCTGCAGCAGCAAGGGTGGCTTTTTGCCACTCTAAAAAGGAGCAGCAAAGCACTGGATTGGGGCCACAGCATGCAGTTGCTATGGCCCCAATCCGGCAAGCAAAGGAGTGGCTTGCCACTGCCCCTTTCAGGTGATCTGTACAGCCCCTAAGACAACTTTTTATGCACCTGATGAAGTGGGCTGCAATCCACAGAATCTTATACCAAATAAACCTTGTAAATCTTTAAGGGTAGCTACTGTTGGGTAGTTACGAGATCCTGCTGTTTTT